CTTTTTGGCGAAAGACTTATCTAAAAACATTATTAAGACGAACGTTTAGCACTCAACAGTGTGAACAAAGCATATTTGCTAGATTTATGGGACCATTAAAGTAGAATTCTTTTAAAGATATGATTGATTGTAAGGAATATTTTTTTACGTGAAAGCAAATTACAAGAATTTGTCTAGAATGAGGGTGAGTGAAAATTATAACAAATGATGTATCATAACCGGTTACACTAGAAATAAGCTAATTATCAGTTGCGACTTTCCGTGCGACCAAAACTTTGTGCCCGTTTGGACATAAAATTTGATGGAAGATTTTGCCAAAAAAATTTCACTTTTTTTCGAAATCAGCATTTATTCATAAAATTTTAAATTTTCACTTAAAGATACATTTTGGAAATTTTCGAAAATTTGAAAAACTGCAAAAAGTTGTTTTTCAAAATTCACTTAAATCACTGACAAAACTTCAAAAACAACCTAAACTGAAATTTATGTCCAAACATAACTCTAAATTTCAAATACCATTTACACTTGAAGAAAAAATTCATCATTTTTTCGAATTTTACAATTCTTATGTCCAAACGCCTACTCTATGTCGCTGTTTAGAGGGGCGAACCTACCTAGAATTTATACTTGGCGCATGTAGATTAGTCGCCACTAAAGATAATAATAAACAAATTCGATTTTGAGCGAGTGTACTCGCTCCAAAAAGTAAATAAATGACAAATTAGGATCGTTTGGTAGGATGCATTACATGTATACATTAACTTCGTGTATTAATAGTACTCCTTCCACTCCACAATAAGTGATCAATTTGTTTTTTTATTTTTGTCCAAAATAAGTGTCCATTTATATAATCAAGAAAGACTCAATTTATTTTTACAAAATTACCCTTATATACATATCCCTAAAAAGTATTCTTACTCCTCACTTAAATATTTAATTAAGGGTAGTTTAGTCATACTAGGTATTTTTGTATAGAATTTAATATTTTCTTAATGGACGTGCCAAAAGCAAATTGGTCACTTATTGTGGACCGGAGGGAGTACCTTGTTTGGTGCACCTTTTGAACCGATGCATTAGTTGTTATACACCCTATTTGGTATTAATGCATAACTAACACTTTGTTTGGATCATTGTTCCCCATCATTTTATAATGTATTGTATTGTATTGTATCATTTTATGAAAATAATATTTGGATAGATTGTATTGTTTGTTGTTGTTAAATAATATTTTGTTGTTTGGTTTGACCGAGTCGTACTTTACTGTAATTGATAAGTTTACTTAAATACCCTCAATTATTAAAATATTAAATTTAGCACAAATTATGCCTAAAAATAATTTAAAACACATGAAGGCAAAACACCTTAAGAAAGCAGAACAAAGGAGCGAGACAGAAGAAGGCAAAACAAATGAGCACATCTAGTTAGAATTGAGTAAAAAAACAAATTAGGAGAAAAATAAAATAGAAGGCGACAAAACACCTTTAACGTTGGCGGCAAAAGTTCTGGAAAAAAAATAAAGTAGGTTATAGGTTGGAGATTTGGAGTTAAAATAGAAGAAAAAAAGATAAAGGATAAAATAGAATTGTGGAGTAATAAGTTAGGTCATAATTGGAAAGAAAAATAGGAAACAATCCCACCACACCAAATCGGTTGTTTTAAAAAAGCGGACTTTTCATTGTTCCGAACAATGTATTTAACAATACATACAACCAATTTTCATGAAACAATGAAAACAAACATTGTTTTGGAATAACAATACAATACGCTACAACATGGAACAACCATCCAAACAAGCTGTAATGCATAAGAAACCATGGTATTAACAATGCAATGAGTTTTAATGCATGCATTAACTTAGTTAAAGACAACATTGTCCTTCAAAATTTATCCTTTATTAAAATATGCTACTATTATATTAATGAAAGTTTGAGATAATCCAAGAAATGGGAAATACAATTATATCCCTAGTAAATAAATAAATACTTAGCATATTTTCTTTTATAAATAAATATTCAGTTCGATACTATAATATAGCTAGACAAATTAATAATTTTTTAAACCCTTTTTCATATAAAAATATTCCTCAACATATATTTTTAAAAAATATATAAAATAATAAAATGATTATGAGGATATTTTTATAAACAAATAATTCTTTTAAAAATTATGCAACACTCTAACAAACAATCCCTTAATTCGGGAGACGTCCTTCTCCAGCACTGCCCGTCAAAAGAGTTCCAAAGAACTCCCTGCTACTAAACGACTGTGAAGAGTAGTAGAAGCAACATTGACTACTCCACGGATTTTCACTACTACTAGCAATAGCAGCGAGCGATGGGAGAAGTAGGAGAAGATGATCCGCAGAAATTGAAGAGAATAGCGGCGACGGCGTATGACTATGAGAATGATCCCAGATGGGCCGATTACTGGTCCAACATCCTCATTCCTCCCCATATGGGCTCCCGCTCCGATGTCGTCCACCATTTCAAGCGCAAGTTCTACCAGCGTTACATTGTACGTTTTCTTTCTCTTTTTCGTATTCATCATATGCCTTAATGGACCGAATAGAGTGGAACATATCTAGATGACGATTGACGACTCCAATTAGCTTGAGATTTGGTGCTTAGTTGCTGAACTGATTGAATTTTCGTTTCATGTGTATATACACACTATATCTGTTTACAGTATTTTTTTTCTAACTGCTCCGATATCCTTGCATTTCGCCTGTTAATTGATGGCGGACTTTTTGTGGTATAATAATGGATCTAATGTCCCTCTGTTGATTCGGAAGGCTTAATTTTGGGGGTCTTGAAGCACGGATGCCGATTTCATTCAGTTATGAGTTTGTGTATGTGCAGAACTGGTTTTTAGCTTTTCTGACTGTAACCGGTTCTTCTTTGTGTGTTCAGCTTTATCTTCTTTTTTTCCCCTCTCCGAAGTATACTTTGGATGAGTTATTTTGATATGAGCTTGTACTTCTTAATTGCGCTTATATTGTTTATATGAATTTCCTCAAATCATCCTCTCTTTTTTTGGCTCTTGCGGAGTTGTGTGTTAAGTATGAGGTTTTCGTAGGCCTTATATTACAGCCCCATCAACTGTAGTGCACTGCTTCCTTCTCCTTGCGTGGAGGCTCCCTCATTACATGGGATCCTTTATCTCTTGAAATCATGCAGGTCACTTTGTCATCCTCTTCTTCCTTAGCTTGTTATTATATTAGTGCTATTCTATAAATACAGTGTCGGACAAATTTTGACTTGATTAAATTGGGAGAGAATTTCATGTTTGCTTTATTTGACTGTTCCCAATTCCTTCTCCTTTTGCTTCCTTCCTCACATGGGTCAAGTGTACCACTTGCTTCGCTTTCTATAATGAGATTGTTCCGATCATTGTTGGGATGAAAAACCTTTTCAAAACCGCCTTTAGGCCGAGCTCAAACTTGAAAATGGTGAAAAATGGGATGATTCCCGATTTTTAGAAGTTTTAATGATTGGGCGTTAGGTGTTCATCGCTTCACGAGACACCTGATGCAATCGTGAAGCATTACGGCCTACTGGCCTCCTCATCGGCTATTTCCATGGGGGAATGGATAAAATTACAAAATTAGAAGGTGATTTTCCATTATATAGTTGTGTAACAGTCATGAGCTACTAGTATCTTGGACTTCTAACACCGAGAGATATTCAACATGCAGTAACATGAAGTGTAGATTCCAGTTCAGAATTTTGCTTTAAGTGCCTCATCTGCCCTTTCTGATGGGCTCTTAACCTTGGCTGTAACTGACAGTAGAATTTTAGATGATCTAAATAATCAGGGGATGAGTATTTTTTTTTAATCGTGGGAAATTTCCTCTGAGGTTCGCATTGTTGATTGTATCTATGTGTCCAGGATTCTGGTCTCATTGTTGAACCAATGACTACCAGCAGTTCATCCCAACCAGCAAGATCATCAGCCCCACAATCTTCTTCATCGTCGTCATCATCAACTTCTAACAACCAGCCAAGACAACGTAACTCTGGTATAAATTTCTTTCTGAATAGTGAATTGAATGAATTAAAACAGTCCCCTTTTTCTGGTTGAGAAAGGTAACAAAAATGCCCCCTTTTCGTGTTAGATTTCACTTCAAATGTAAGTGTGTATTTTCATCCAAATGAAATTTATTTCAGGGCCAGCTAGTAGAACTTCTGGGACATCCACGACTCCAACTTCAAGTGCAACATCGCTGCGATGGAATCGACAAACTCTACAATTTTCAGTGAATGCTTGGGTACCATATATTCATCTAAGTAATTTGAATTTTTGTAACATTTTCTTTTTAACTTTTGCACCATGATTTCTGTGTGAGAGTTTTGATTGGCTGCTTCCTTCTTCCAACAAATAAAAATGTCTTAACTGCTCTATGTGTTACAAGATTAATTGTTAACTCTTTATTAGCACAAAGAGTCCAAAAGTGGATATATACTTTCTAGGATAGGACCTTATCTCCTTTACAGTGATGGAATCTGATATGCGCTGCTTTACCACATGCCAACTTTTGTTATCAGGTGATGCGTCTCAATGAACAGGATGCATTTGAAAATTCCTTGTAGGATTATTGCCTTTCATCATGACTTCTTTTAACCTTGATTAATTGGGGAGGGGAGGGGAGAGGAGATGCTATGAAAGAGAAAGGGGAAAAAAGAGGTCACTTTGTCGTTAATCAGAAATATCATTGCATCCTTTTGTTTGAATTTTCTGTTTACGTTCCTGGAGACAAGCTATGGAAAAACTTAAAATCAATAGGTGTTTGTCAGGTTTCCAAAATAAATAATGTATTTGGCTTCCGTCTCCTTTTTTATATCACGTACATTAATTCCTTCTGTCAGTGGCGCCCTGCCTCTGCAGCAGAGGGGAGAGCCTTTGTACATTTCATTGGCTCTGAAAATTATCTGTTAAGAGCTCTTGGTATTTCTGGGATCAAGCTTCATATAAACTTTTATCTTAATCTCACTGAAGCATTTCTGCCTATTCCATTGTGCTTATTAAGGTGCCATTGATTTTCAGCATGAAAATCATGCACCACAAGATTTTAATGATTGGTTTTGTCGCTCTTGCATTTGATTTGACTACAGAATAGTTAGCCAGCTCTTGCGATTGAATTTTGGTACTCTTCTCTACAGGTCCTTGTTGTGGCAATTCTTGCAATCTTACCACTTATACCTGCAAATCTGTCAAACAGAGCATTTCGACTGGCCTTTGCAGGAACTGCATGTTCTTCCCTATATTCATTGTACTCATTATATGGGGTAAATTCTGGATGCAGATTCTCCCCTCTTACTTTTTTGACGCTAGTTCACATCTTTTGGTCTATGAGCTGACTTTTGATAATCTAATCCCCTTTTTGCAGAAGCCTAGCGCTTGGAATTTGCAGGCGGTGCAAGTTTGGTTTCAGTCAGTTATTGTGACGAAAGATTTTATCTACTTCATTTACTGCCTTACTTTTGTCACTTCACATCTTTACTTGAAATGTGAGCTTCACTTTGGTCTTTTTTTGTTTGTCCCTCTCGTTCTTTGTAATTTTTGTAGAATTTTGTTCTCTTGATTCAATAACATCTGTAATTGATCAATGCTGAGCAGTTGCTTTGATTCCCGTTTTATGCCGAGCGCTTGAACATGTTGCGAAGTTTCTCCGACGCAACTTCAGCACATCCTCTTTATACAGGTAGCAGAACTGCTTTTCCTTAATTATCATGAAAAAGAGCTGTTTCTCTTGAAATGAGTGATTCTAAAATTGATAATATCCTACAAAATCTATAGAACAAACCTTAGGAAATCTTCGATGTAATGGCAAAATGTTTATTCATCTTGTAAATCTCTTAGATGTGCTTTTACCTATTCGTGTCTCCCCTTGATTATTTTTTGTGGTGTGTGTTGTGGGGAGTGTCCTAGAAAGTTTTTTCCTTATCTCTGACTTACATGGCAATATTTACAGGAAATACTTGGAAGAGGCTTGTGTGTGGGTCGAGTCAAACACAACTACTCTTAGCATACTGTCTTCACAGGCTGAGATTGGGCTTGGATTTCTTCTAATTGTGTCCCTATTATCGTTAGTATCGGAGCTCATTTTCTTATACCAAAGTTTCTGTTACTGGTGCTGTTACTTGTTATTCTCATTGGTCTTGCCATTTTGTGCATTTAACTCTCCACATCCTAAAAATGCAGTTGGCAGCGTAACATAATACAAGCTTTCATGTATTGGCAGGTATGTGTCATTCTCTCATTTTCATTGAAGTACTTCAGCTTCTTTTTCCTTGTAAATTCTAAATGAGTGCTCTAAAAGTTCTAGTAGCTTCGGCTTCTTGCTCCGTAAAAATTTCATCAAGTTACATCTCGTGTTCCATCATGTCAGTCAGTACATTACATTACGTCAGGCCACTACTATCACTAACTCTCATTCACGCGTATTCAACTCATGTGCAGCTATTGAAGCTTATGTATCAAGCTCCTGCTACTGCTGGTTACCATCAGAACATGTGGGCTAAGATCGGGCGGCATGTAAATCCTCTGATTCAAAGATATGCTCCATTCATGCATACTCCTATTTCTGCTATTCAGAGATGGTGGTTCAGGTAAAACCGTAGAACAGAGCGGGCAAGACATAGGACAAAATTCATGACAACTAGGTCGGAAGTACTATTTTAGGTTTCTACTTTGTTCTGGAGGACGAGTATCAGCTAGACCTTTACTTTTAACTTTTATAAAAATATTAGCTAGTAATTCCGAAGCAAAACCTTGTAATAACCTTGGGGCCACTGCAATTTTTAACATTTTTTCCAGAAGAGGTTCAGAGAAAGGTGACGTGGCGCTTGGTTATAAATTAGTTTACCTTGCCAGAATGTAATCTATTTGTTGAAGAATGATTCACTGATATCGGGCTTGAATGGTCTTCTGAGAAGACATGTGATTGGGGTGGTTTTAAAGAGTTTCACAACCTAAAGTTAAATAAGTATAGCATATTATAACTAATGTGTTAGAGTTAGATTGACTCACGTATAACTATTGACATTTTTGTTTCACTTAGGGTGTGTTTGGTATAACGGAAAATGTTTTCCGTGGAAAATATTTTCCAAGAAAATGTTTTCTTGGAAAACAAGTAGTAATCTTATTCATTTTTCGGTGTTTGGTACGCAAATTAAGGAAAATGACTTCTCAAGAGTATTCATAAATAATTTAGATATAATAAACATGAAGCCAAAACCAGCAACCTTACGAATCCACAAATTTCACAAACTTTCGAACCCGCGGAATTTTGAACCCCTGAACTTTATAATTTCTAAACTCGTAAACTTCCAAACACATAAACCTCCAAACTCATAACTTTGGTACTTGTAAAATTTTGAACCTTTAAACCGATAAAAAAAACTAAAACTGAAAAATACATTTTAAAAACAATATTTTTTTCGGGGGGGGGGGGGGGGGGGGTGGGGGGGAGGGGAGGGGCAGGGGGAAGAAAAATGAAAAAAGCAGAAATTTTGAAATTACCAAAAAAAAATTTTTTTTTTTTTGTTCGGGGAGGGGGGGGGGGTGCTCGGGTAGGGTAGGGGGGGGGGGGTGGGTGGTGGCAGAAAAAACGAAAAAACAGAAATTTGAAATTGCAAAGCGGGTGAGGGTGGGGGTGGAGGGTAGTAGGGTGGGTGATAACAGAAAAATTGAAATTTAAAAAAAGAAAAACCTTTTTTGGAGGGGGGGGGGAGTTGGTGAGGGTGGGAAATGTTGAGAAGGAGTTTTAGAAAATGTTTTCCCTTCTCTTGATAAGGAAAATTTTCCTCCAAGAGTTGATAAGGAAAATGTTTTCCAAAATATTTAAGCCAACCAAACATGGAAAAATTGAAAAATATTTTCCGGAAAATGTTTTCCTTCATACCAAACACACCCTTATTTACTCTTTTTTTTCTAATTAATGTTATATTAGTTCTTGTAAAACTAAATGAAAGTGACATTCTAGTAGCCAAATAAACCAGGTCGCTTGTACCATCCCTATTTAAAATATATTTAGTTTTTAAAAACTATTCTCAAAGTTTAGTTTGTTTGGGCAAACTTCATACTCCTCCTCCCGCTTCTTCAGGTCTAGGTCTGAAGATTGAAAAGCCAAAGTTCAAATTAAGAACCTATGAGTACTATCAAAGCCTAACTTAATTTGAATTTCATTTAAATTGGTATGAAGTTAGGCTCTTGCAGTGTAACTTCATACCCGTATGTCTGAAACTGAATCTGAAGTGGTTAAATTTTAAAACTTTATAAATTTGATTTTTTCAAAATAGGGTCCTAAAAACGACTATTTGTGCACTTTGCCCATATGATAGTAAAATCAAAAAAGCATTTACGACCTATTTGAATTAAGAGAAACTTTCAGAAACCACTATGTTTTAGTGGTTATTAGCTAGTTGTAGCTACCATTTACTATATTACTTCCTATAGCTATGTTTTTAGGTTTTTTAGAGTGTATTCGATGTATTTAAGCTACTGTATTCATGAATACAGTAGCATTTCTAGGCGTGAAACAAAGATTACAACTAGACAGACTTTTGTATTCGACTGTATTCAGGGCGTGAAACAGAGGATTACAGCTAGACAGATATTGTATTCGACTGTATTCACGATATGTAATTGTGAATGCAGTAACGTAAATAGCGCAAATCATGGTCTATTCAGCTGATTTTAAACGGAAAGTGAATCAATTAACACAATAAACTCCTAATATAACTCAACTAACTCAATTATAAGTCTGTATACATACATCTGAATACATAAATTATATTAATTAAAAAAATATGAATACATTCATGGAATATAGCGAGACAATGAATACAATAAAATACATGGAATACAGCGAGATACAATGAAAAAGAAGATAATGAATACAATGAAATACATATAATACAGCGAGATACATTGAAATACAATGAAAAAAGTGGTAGCAGAGTCTTCGAGTTGCTCAACCGAAAAACTCCGAAAACAGCGAGATACATTGAAATACAATGAAAAAAAGGTAACAGACTCTTCAAGTTGCTGCACCAAAACTCCGTCGTCTTTGTTCAAGAATAACCCTAAGTCGTCTCGTCGATAGCAGATTTCGACGAATTTTCACTTTGTTTCCATCGATAACCAGTGAAACGAAATTGCTTTGATTGCTGGAGATTTTCAATGGAGGAATGGCACGAACACTTTGTTTCCATCTTTGCCGCCTAACTTTCAATGGAGATTTTCCATCGATTTGTGTCTAACACTTTGTTTCCATCTTTGCCGCCTAACTTTCGCAAATTATTGTTACAACAACATTACAAGATTGAAATATATGCATTGAAAAAAAAAAAAAAAGACGATGTGGGTGAGAGAGAATTTCAGTTGCAGAATCGTGTTTTCTGGGGAAGATAATGGCGTGTATCAAATTAGAGAGAGAGAACGTGGAGAGAGAAGTTTACATCAAATACAGTAATTATGTGAGAGAGAAATCTGAAAAAAGAGAGAGAAAAATAATAATTAGCGTATATAGTGGCTTAAGGGTAGGAGTTAACCATAAATAGATATTTTGCTATAAACATTAAAAGGTAGATATAGAATATAATTTTTTAAAATGGTATTAATTTAAAATAAATAAGGTGTTAAGCTTTGCTATAGGAGGTAAATATTCCTTGAATTAATGAACCTTGACTCAAACCAAAATTCATCGTAGCGAGCTGAATTTTTTTTAATAAATAACTGCAAAAAGATTAACAGGATATAATCTATTGAAACCCGTCTTTATATTTAGGGACTTTTTTCATTCCTATACACTATTTGAAACCTTATTACGAAAAATGTTTATGTTTTGGTATTTACCTGACCTAAACACATTTTAGTTATAAAATGTATATAATCCACCTTAAAAGGCTTACAATTCATTATTTGTGCCTTCAATCAAGGGATTTAGTTACACCCCTTTCCTTTTTTCTCTCCTCTCTTACAACAAACAAGATCAGTAAGCACAACTGAGACATTTAAACTCTTCTGAACATGAAGAACATAAACGTAGTTATTGAACATAAACTCCAATCGAATGACTCGGAACATACTCTTCTCATTCAATTTTCTCTTCTGTATCTTCTCTTAATCTTCTATTTCGACTTATTTATCCGTAGTTAAATATTTTCATGGTCGTGCTTCATAAACAAAAAACTGTGCATCTGGTATATATATATATATATTCTTTTGTATGCTCTAACATTATCCACTAATTTATGCAGACGGCAATATAAATTCTGTAGGAGATCAATGCGACAGTAGCTTAGGCTTGTCATTTCAAGTAGCTCCAGCAATTACTTTCATAACTATTGCTGTTCTATTTCCTATTGTTTCCAAAAGCATTGGTGCTCTATTTCCTCGACGAAAAAGAAATCTTGCTCCGCGTATCTATTCATGTGATGAATGGAGAGCCCTGCACAATGCTTCTGCAAATCCTGCTGCACCTGCTAGAAAAGTTGTAATTATATAATATACAATTTTTTTATAACTTATTTATAATTTTCATAAATTATTTATCCAGTTAAAAACAACTACAATATCATACGGTGCATCAATATACAAAATATAGAAACACGTCTTAGACACATAGTCATTAGTCTCAATGGCTGATCCAATCAAAAGATGCATTATTCAATGTCAAATATAATCTTATTAGTGCCCAGTTAAATACATTATTTCTACCAAGTTATATACAACTACAATATCATACCACGTAAATACAATTGTTATACGATATGTCTTTTGTATATTTTGTATATGATTTAGTAAAAACAAAATTCATACAATTAATTATACATTATACAACTTATCTACAATTTTCATACATTATTTCTACCCAGTTATATACAACTGCAATATCATACAACTTAGATACAATTTTTATACAATATTGTTCAACTTTCATACAATAATTAAATAAAAAATTTATATATAAATAACATAATACAATTTTACTATAATTTTCTACTATTTTACTACAACTGTACTACAATTTCATAAATATAATGTATGTCATGTCATGTCGTCTTCTTCGAGTTTCAATCTGAAATTCAGCCAAAATCAAGTCTAATCTCACCAAAACACCCTCAAAATTGAGATATAAACTCCAAACCATATTCTCAATTGTTTGAAACAACACTCAATCCAAACAAATAATGATTTTTGAAAACTCAAATTTGAATTCAAAGTTTCAAAGCTTTTTAATGGCTATCAATGGTAGAATTGCTGCTCTCTTTTCCTTTGATTCACATTTATGGAATTAGGGATTGAGAGATAGAGAGAGACGTAGAGAGAATTCCCAATTGTTTGCAACAACACCCAATTCAAACAAATAATGTTTTTTGAAAATCCAAATTCGAATTCAAAGCTTCAAAGCTTTTTAATGGCAGTCAATGGTGCAATTGCTGCTCTCTTTTCCTTTGCTCTACATTACTGGAAATAGGGATTGAGAGAGAGAGAGAGAGAGAGAGAGAGAGAGAGAGAGAGAGAGGAGAGAGGGGAGGGGGGGGGGGGAGAGAAAATAAGGGAGGGCAATAAAATTTCTAATAGTGTATAGGTATGTAAAAATCCCTTCAGGGTTTTATGTACTTTTTTTTAAAGGTATAATCATGCTAAGGCAGCTGTCACGGCCCAAATCCCAAACCCGATCGTGATGGCGCCTCTCGTGAAGATAAGGCCAGCCAAAACAATGCCACACCTCTTTAAGCAGTTAATTACCATTAAATAATTCTAAAGCATGATTTAATAACAATAATTCGTGGAAGTATGGAATATAACAGTAGAAACCATCCCGACACAGCCCAAACCGGGGTGTCACAAGTCATGAGCTACTACAGAATTTCTATAAGTCTACAAACAGAATATCTAGTACAGAAGTCTGGAATAACTGAAATAGCATGAAATA